ATCACCTGAAGCCAGTCATTTCACTGGGTACTATATATGTAAGGGTTTATAATCACTTTAATTATGAAATAAATACATTTTTTATACTTTCATACAGGGTAACCTTGGTTGGTGTCATATTTGTCATTTTTCTTTCTATCGTTGATCCAAGACAGCAGGATGGGGGCCAGATGCAAAATATGTGAAAGAGTCCATCTGCTAGACCGTAATGAGAGGCCTCACAACAGAAGTCCAGAGGGACTGATGGAAAGGGCCCCGGGACCAATGGAAAGCTCCCCAGCTGGGGGATCAGGGGGGCCCTTCATGGTTTCTTGCACTGGGGCCTTGAAGGTTAGTTATGCCTCTGTCTTGTCACACCCACCAATGCACATCTGCACCACCAGAGACCCTTTTTATGAGTTCAGGGGTCTCTCAAGATCCTCACAACACCCTTAGCTGTATATGAAATGAATTTAGTTCATTTTATATTTGGAGTTTGAAAAAAATCCACACACTGAGCCTAATGAATTCATCTTTTAGGAATATTCTGTGGTTGGTGCTCCCTGGGTACTAATTTCTCTACATTTACAATCTATTCTGGAAAAAGTTCGCTTTATGTATTTACTGTCAACATTTATTTAACAAAATTGCTATGAAGTCCCATTTTCACTGGCCAGCGGGAAAATTACTGACTAGTTTTAAAGTGGACCTGACCTCAAAAAGTGGAGATTTAGTATCATGCAGCTGTTATTGGATCATATAGAAATGTTAATTGAAATGTTAATTGTACCTACCCTGAGAAATGTATGTTTTGTCATGTAATTGATGTTATAAATTCCTCCTGAAAAATAACACTTCCTGGTATGTGAGTGTGCCTAGGCTCTTCTGTGCCTACAGGCTCACAGCGGTGTGGCAGCAGTTTCACAATAAGGCACCATGTACACGGGACACTTCTGAACAATGGAAACTGACTACTAGAAACGTAAATAAAAAAAAAACGCCTGTTTAGTCACGTTTGCATAACGTGTTTATGTGCGTTGCGTTTAGAAGCGTTTTTTAAAGATAAGCACAGGAGAACCTCCCAAATGCCCAGAATGCACTGAAAAGTGGTAAATTATTGACTATTTTAGACTGTTTCAGACAAATACAGAGAGTAGAAGCAGAGACAGCAGTATGAGTTGACATTAGCTAGGTGTGAGTTGCTCATTAACATTTCTTTTGTTTCCAAGGGTGGGAAGGTGTCTGGTGCAGTGAGTCATTAAGGCCACCTGGCAAGGGGGGTGTTCATGAGGAATTTGAGGGGTGAATGGTCATTAACATATCTTTTGTTTCCAAGGGTGATTTCCAAGGGTGGGAGAGGTCTGAGGTATGAATTGGTCATTACAATGTGTGACAAGCTTGGTAGGAACATCCTGTGTTCAGTGTTTTGTCCATTTGAGTATCTTGAAAATGCTTTGCATGCATTTTTCATGATGAAAAAAGGCTCTGGAGAGCATTGGGAACTGGAAGTTAAAAAAAATTTCAAACGCAAATGCTTATAAATGTGATTTACTGCGTTTAGCCACATTTACAAGCATTTTGCGTTTGAAACGCTGATAAAATCAACTGCTGAACGCAAGTTTTCTGCGTTCAAAAAAAAATTGTAAACTCAAATGCCTGTAAACGACTGTAAACGTAGATGAGTACATGGACACATAGGAAAACATTAGGGAGAGTTCAGGGGCTGCTGAAAAAAACTCTGAACAGCTCCTATATGTGAGTTTATCAGCTGCAGTGTACATGAGCCCTAAGGAACTGCTGCCTATAGCTGCTAGTCCCGGGAGATCTGGAGTGAGATTTGGTAATGCTACTACTCTCTTGTTCACTGTTCTCCTTGCTGGAGGGCTCTAATATGAGCAAGCAAAGCCCTGCCTCTACCAGGATGGCTGCCTTCAAACAGAGACACAGTGAGTGAGGCTGCATTAATAATTCAGTGTAATGAACATGAGAATTTTTTGTACGTTTTTGCGTGCAAATTCTTTGCACAATTTGTTGTGTTTTCTCACCGTGTTTTTGTCATTTTTGAGCTTTGACTTTTTTCTATTATCCAATAGATAAAAATATAATCTGTTGCATCATTTGTGGCTATGTTTTTCAGCTTTGTTACCTTTTCCATCAGCTATTATTATTATTATTATTATTAATTTTTTTTTTTTTTTGTTAGGGTAAGGGGTCAGAGTTAGGTTAGGGTTAGGAAGGGGTTGGGGTTAAGGTTAGGATTAGGGGTTGGGGTTAATATTTTATTTATTGTCTTCTTCTTATTTATTTATTGTTTTTTTTGTTAGGGTTAGGGTGTTAATAATAAATAATAATAATAATAATAAGTGAATAAATAAATGTAAAATGAATACACAAATAAAACTAATTATGAATAAATACAATAAAAGAATACTATGTAATAATAAATAAATAATAATTTATCCCCAACCATAAAGCGGAGTTCCAGCTGAAAAAAAAAATACAAAAACTGTAGCTGCGGACTTTTAAAATACAGACCTCCCTCGGTCCAGCGGTGTCCTCACCACGGCTGGTTTAACCGACCGCCCTCTCTCCCTGGCTTCGGCATCTTCAGTGTGGGCACCTGTCTGTGACAGCTTGCAGCTTCACATCCGGGTGTCCACTGCACATGCATGAGAAGCGCTGCACTTTGTGAATGGCCACGTAGTCTTCTGGGACCTGTCACGTGTCTCAGAAGACAATGGGGAGAGAGCGGGGAGGACAACTTCCACTTTCGATTGCCCAGCGATCGCAGTGGAAGCGGAAGCAGGTACCTGTCGAAATCGAGTACTCACTTCCCCCCCTACTCCCCAAAGCTGCCAATCCTTAATGGGGAGTGGGGGGGACAAATGCTTAAAGCGGAACTTACCATTTTGGGTGGAGCTTCGCTTTACCCCTAACCCTTACATTTTTTTTAATAAATAATAATAATAATTATTATTTATTTTATTTTGTGTTAAGGTTAAGGTTTTTATTATTGTTTTCTTCTTCTAATACTTCTTCTTCTTTATTATTATTATAATAATAATAAATAAAATAATAATAAATAATAAAAAAACAATAAATAAACAAAATACATAAATTATTATTAATAATAATAATAATAATAATAATAATAACAATACATTATGTTCAGGTTTGGGTTTTTATTTATTATTATTTTATTATTATTAAGAATAATAATTTATTTAATTTATTTTTAGAGTTAGGGAGTTAAGGTTAGGGGTTAATTATTATTTATTATTTCATATTATTAATTTTATATATTTATTTATGATTATTTTTAGGGATGCACCAATACCGGTATCGGTGCCGATACTAGGAATTTGTGTGAATATCAGTACTTGTGCAAATTCACCGATACTGGAAGTGACATCAGTGTGGAGGCAGAGAAGGGTTTGTTCCCCCACATGGCGCCAGTGAATGCTTACATGTCCCTTACTGACTGCTCTACATGTCCCTTGCTGACTGATGTACATGTTTCTTGCTGACTGCTGTACATATCCATTGCTAACTGCAGTACTTCAGGTGGTGAGTCCAGTGCAATGCTGTACTTTCAGTAGTCCTGTAATATGTCTCTTGCTGTACTGCTGTTGGTGAGTCCTGTTACCTGTCTCTTGCTGTACTCCTGCTGGTGAGTCCTGTTACATGTCTCTTGCTGTACTCCTGTTGGTGAGTCCTGTTACGTGTCTCTTGCTGTACTCCTGTTGGTGAGTCCTGTTACCTGTCTCTTGCTGTACTCCTGTTGGTGAGTCCTGTTACACGTGTCTCTTGCTGTACTCCTGTTGGTGAGTCCTGTTAGGTGTCTCTTGCTGTACTCCTGTTGGTGAGTCCTGTTACGTGTCTCTTGCTGTACTCCTGTTGGTGAGTCCTGTTACGTGTCTCTTGCTGTACTCCTGTTGGTGAGTCCTGTTACGTGTCTCTTGCTGTACTCCTGTTGGTGAGTCCTGTTACCTGTCTCTTGCTGTACTCCTGTTGGTGAGTCCTGTTACGTGTCTCTTGCTGTACTCCTGTTGGCGAATAAATAAATAAAAGCTTAGCATTGTAAGCACCCCTGTCAGTGGTAAATGGCTTATCTCATCATTGTAACTGATACATTCAACTGGGGAGCTTGTTCTGTTAAAAAACAACAGACTTACTGGCTGGATCACCAGATGAAACGTTTGCATTTGTCTCTTCGAAAAATTTTGGATGAAAGCTGTGTACTAACAATCAGTACAATTGGTTCAACAGCGATATTTTTCAGACGATATTCTGATTGTGTGTACTAGGCTCAAGGCAGGATCTAGCCGGTCTGATGTGGCAGTACAATAAAAAATGTCAGGGGGGCAGATAATGGGAGGTCAGCAGGGCAGTGTACAGGGGTCAGTAGGGCAGTGTAGAGAGGTCAGCAGGGCAGTGTACAGGGGGTCAGTAGAGCAGTGTAGAGAAGACAGCAGGGCAGTGTACAAGGGTCAGCACTGCTGTGTAGAGAGGTCAGAAGGGCAGTGTAGAGAGGTCAGCAGGGCTGTGTTGTAGAAAGGTCAGCAGGGCAGTATACAGGGGCAGCAGGGCAGTGTAGAGAGGTCAGCAGGGCAGTGTACAAGGGTCAGCTGGGCTGTGTAGAGACGTCAGCAGTGCAGTGTAGAGAGGTCAGCAGGGCAGTGTACAGGGGTCAGTAGGGAAGTGTAGAGAGGTTAGAAGGGAAGTGTACAGGGGTCAGCTAGGCTGTGTAGAGACGTCAGCAGTACAGTGTAGAGAGGTCAGCAGGGCAGTTTACAGGGGTCAGTAGAGCAGTGTACAGGGGTCAGCACGGCTGTGTAGAGAGGTCAGTAGGGCAGTGTACAAGGGTCAGCAGGGCTGTGTAGAGATGTCAGCAGTGCAGTGTAGAGAGGTCAGCAGGGCAGTGTACAGGGGTCAGTAGGGCAGTGTACAGGGGTCAGCAGGGGACTGTGTAGAGAGGTCACCAGGGTAGTGTACAAGGGTCAGCAGGGCAGTGTACAGGGTCAGCAGGGCAGTGTAGAGAGGTCAGCAGGGCAGTGTACAAGGGTCAGCAGGGCAGTTTACAGGGGTCAGCAGGGCAGTGTAGAAAGGTAAGCAGGACAGTGTACAGGGGTCAGCAGGGCTGTGTAGAGAGGTCAGCAGGGCAGTGTAGAGGGTCAGTAGGGCAGTGTACAGGGGTTAGCAGGGAACTGTAGAGATGTCAGCGGTGCAGTGTACAGGGGTCAGCTGGGCAGTGTAGAGAGGTCAGCCAGGGCAGTGTACAGGGGTCAGCATGGCAGTGTAGAGAGGTCAGCAGGGCTGTGTACAGGGGTCAGCTGGGCTGTGTAGAGACATCAGCAGTGCAGTGTCGAGAGGTCAGCAGGGCAGTGTACAGGGGTCAGCATGGCTGTGTAGAGAGGTCACCAGGGCAGTGTACAAGGGTCAGCAGGGCAGAGTACAGGGGTCAGTAGGGCAGTGTACAGGGGTCAGCCGGGCTGTGCAGAGAGGTCAGCAGGGAAGTGTACAGGGGTCAGCAGGGCAGTGTACAGGGGTCAGTAGGGCAGTGTACAGGGGTCAGCAGGGCAGTGTAGAGAGGTCAGCAGGGCAGTGTACAGGGGTCAGCAGGGCTGTGTAGAGAGGTCAGTAGGGCAGTGTACAGGGGTCAGTAGGGCAGTGTACAGGGGTCAGCCGGGCTGTGCAGAGAGGTCAGCAGGGAAGTGTACAGGGGTCAGCAGGGCAGTGTACAGGGGTCAGTAGGGCAGTGTACAGGGGGTCAGTAGGGCAGTGTAGAGAGGTCAGCAGGGCAGTGTAGAGGGTCACGTAGGGCAGTGTACAGGGGTTAGCAGGGAAGTGTAGAGATGTCAGCGGTGCAGTGTACAGCGGTCAGCTGGGGCAGTGTAGAGAGGTCAGCAGGGCAATGTACAGGGGTCAGCATGGCAGTGTAGAGAGGTCAGCAGGGCTGTGTACAGGGGTCAGCAGGGCTGTGTAGAGAGGTCCGCAGGGCAGTGTAGAAGGTCAGTAGGACAGTATACAGGGGTTATTAGGGCAGTGTAGAGAGGTCAGCAGGGAAGTGTACAGGGGTCAGCTGGGCTGTGTAGAGATGTCAGCAGTGCAGTGTAGAGAGGTCAGCAGGGCAGTGTACAGGGGTCAGCTGGGCTGTGTAGAGATGTCAGCAGTGCAGTGTAGAGAGGTCAGCAGGGCAGTGTTTAGGGGTCAGAAGGGCAGTGTACAGGGGTCAGCAGGACTGTAGAGATCACCAGGGCAGTGTGTACAGGGTCAGCAGGGCAGTGTACAGGGGTCAGCTGGGCAGTGTAGAGAGGTCAGCGTCAGGGCCGAGTTTAGTGCAAGGGTTAGCAGGGCAGTGTACAGGGGTCAGCAGGGCAGTGTACAGGGGTCAGTAGGGCAGTTTGTACAGGGGTCAGCAGAGCTGTGTAGATGAGGTCAGCAGGGCATTGTAGAGAGGTCAGGTAGGGCAGTGTACAGGGGTCAGCGGGGTCAGCTGGGCTGTGTAGAGAGGTCCGAGAGGTCAGCTAGGGCAGTGTACACAAGGGATCAGCAGGGGTAGATTTTGAGAGTGCAGGTCAGTGTGCGGGCTGTGCAGATAGGGTCAGCATGGGGAAGTGTACAGGGGTCAGCAGGGCAGTGTCATACAGTGGGGGTCAGCAGGGGCAGTGTAGAGAGGTCAGCATGCAGTATACTGTGAAGGGGTCAGTAGGGCAGTGGTACAGGGTTCAGCACCCGGGGCATAGAGGTGTACAGGGGTCAGTAGGGCAGTTGTACAGGGTTCAGCAGGGCACTGTAAGGGGACAGCAGGGCTGCAGTGTAGAGAGGTCAGCAGGGCAGTGTAGAGGAGGTCAGTTTAGGGCAGTGTACAGGGGTAAGCCGGTTTCAGTGTAGAGTAGGTCAGCAGTGGCAGTATACAGGGGTCAGCAGGGGCTGTGTAGAGAGGTCACCAGGGCAGTGTATAGTAGGTCAGCAGGGCAGTGTTCAGGGGTCAGTAGGGCAGTGTACAGGGGTCAGCTGGACTGTGTAGCAGGACAGTGGCAGTTGTAGAGAGGTCACCAGGCAGTGTACTGGGGTCAGCAGGGCAGTGTAGAGAGGGTCAGCAGGGCACTGTTACAAGGGTCAGTAGGGCAGTGTTACAGGGGTCAGCAGGGCAGTGTAGATAGAAAGGTCAGCAGGGCAGTGTACAGGGGTCAGCAGGGCAGTGTACAGGGTCAAGCAGGGCAGTTTACAGGGGTCGACAGCAGGGCAGTGTACAGGGGTCAGCTGCCGGGCAGTGTAGAGATGTCAGAAGGCAGTGCAGTGTAGCTGGAGAGGTCAACAGGGCGCAGTGTTACAGGGGTCAGTAGGGCAGTGCACAGGGGTCAGGCAGGGACTGTTGTAGAGAGGTCAGCAGAGGGCAGTGTACAAGGGTCAGCAGAGCAGTGTTTTGTACAGGGGTCACTAGGGCTGTGTAGAGAGGTCAGTAGGGCAGTGTGTAGAGAGGGTCAGTATAAACAGGGGCAGTGTACAGGGGTCAGCAGGGCAGTGTACAGGGGTCAGCAGGGCAGTGTAGTCATCAGCAGAGGTCAGCAGGGAGCTGTGTACAGGGGTCAGCCGGGGCTGTGTAAGAGAGTCAGCAGTGCAGTGTCGAGACCGGTCAAAGTAGGGCAGCGTACAGGGGTCAGCAGGGTGTGTAGAGAGGTCAGCAGGGCAGTGTACAAGGGTCAGCAGGGCAGAGTACAGGGGTCAATAGGGTAGTGTACAGGGTCAGTCAACTGGGATCTCTCAGTATTGATAACAGGGTCAGCAGGGAAGTGTACAGGGGTCAGCAGGGCACTTGTACAGGGGTCAGTAGGGCAGTGTACAGGAGTCAGCAGGGCAGTGTAGAGGAGGTCAGCAGGGCAATGTACAGGGTGTCCAGCAGGGGCTGTGTAGAGAGGTCAGCAGGGCCGTGTACAGGGGTCTCAGCTGGGCAGGTCAGAGAGTAGACAGGGGTCAGTAGGGCAGTGTTAGGCAGGGGTCAAGCCGGGCTGTTGCACGTCAGCAGTGCAGGTTCGAGAGGCAGGGAAGTGTACAGGGGTCAGCAGCTGGGAGCAGTGTCATAGCAGGGGCAGTGTACATGGGGTCAGTAGGGCAGTTGTACAGGGGTAGCAGGGCAGTGATCTTAGAGAGGTCAGCAGGGCAGTGTGTACATCAAGGTCAGCAGTCAGCAGGGGGCTGGCAGTAGGTAGAGGTCAGCATAGGGCAGTGTAGAGAGGTCAGTATCGGCAATGTACAGGGGGTTGTGCAGAGGTACTCAGCAGCGCAAGTGTAGAGAGGTCCTCGTAGGGCAGTGTACAGGAGTCAGTAGGGCACTATACAGGGGTCAGCAGGACTGTATAGAGAGGTCACCAGGGCAGTGTACAAGGGTTCAGCAGGGCAGTGTACAGGGTTCAGTAGGCAGTGTACAGGGGGTCAAGCGGGCTGTGTAGAGAGGTCAGCAGGGCAGTGTACAGGGGTCAGTAGGGCAGTGTACAGGGGTCAGCAGGTCAGTGCAGTGAAAGGTCAGCAGGGCAGTGTACTGAGTCAGGGGTCAGAAGGGCAGTGTACAGGGGTCAGCAGGATTCTTGTATAGAGAGGTCAACCAGGGCAGGGTACAAGGGGAGTCAGCAGGGCAGAGTGTACAGGGGTCAGCAGGGCTGTGTAGAAGAGGGTTCAGCAGGGCATAGTGCAAGGGTTCAGTAGGGCAGTGTAGCAGGGGTCAGCAGGGGCAGTAGTGTACAGCAGGGTCAGTAGGGCAGTGTAGGGGTCAGCAGAGCTGTGTAGAGAGGGTCAGCAGGGCACTTGTTAGACAAGGTCAGTTAGGGCAGTGTTACAGGGTCAGCAGGGCTGTGTAGAGAGGTCACTAGGGGGCATAGTGTAAAGGGTCAGGTAGGGCAGAGTACCAGGGGTCAGCAGGGGCAATGTGCAGATAGGGTCAGTAGGGCATGTGTACAAGGGTCAGCAGGGTACAGAGTACAGGGCATTGTAGGGTAGGTCAGCCGGGCTGTGCAGATAGGTCAGACAGGGCTGGAAGTGTCCCAGGGGTCAGAGGCAGTATGGGGCAGTGTACAGGGGTCAGTAGGGCAGTGTACAGGGACGACAGCTGAAGGGCAGTGTAGAGAAGGTCAGCAGGGCAGTTATACAAGGGTCAGTAGGGCAGGTGCACAGGGTTTCAGCAGGGCAGTGTACAGGGGTCAGGTAGGGCAGTGTACAGGTTCAGCAGGGCACTGTACAGGGGACAGCAGGGCTGTGTAGAGGACGGTCAGACGCAGGCAGTAAACAAGGGTCAGTAGGGTTGAGGAGGTCGCGAGTAGGGCAGTGTACAGGGGTAGTAGCGCTTCAGTGTTAGATAGGGTCAGCAGGGCAGTACATACATGGATATGGTCAAAGGCAGGGCTGTGTAGAGAGGTCCAGGGCAGTGTACAGAGGTCAGCAGTATGGGGAGTGTACAGGGGTCAGTGTAGATAAGGGCAGTGTACAGGGGTCAGGACGCAGGACTGTGTAGAGAGGTCACCTAGGGGCAGTGTGCAAGGGTCAGTCGGGCAGTGTACAGAGGTCAGTAGGGCAGTGTATAGAAAGTCAGCAGGAAACAGTGTAGGGACAGTGTGCAAGGGTCAGCAGGGCAGTTTACAGGGTCAGCAGGCAGTGTACAGGTCCGACCGGGCAGCTGGGCTGTGTAGAGAGTGTCAGCAGTCAAGTGCAGTGTAGGAGCATTCGTCAGCAGGGCATGTTGTTACAGGGGGTCAGTAGGGCAGTGCAAAGGGGTCAGCAGGATGCTGTTGAGAGGTCAGCAGGGCAGGTGTAAAGGGGTCAGCATAGCAGTGTACAGCGGGTCAGTACAGGGCTGTTGTACAGAGGTCAGCAGGGCTTGTGTAGAGAGGTCAGCAGGGTAGTGTACAAGGGGTCAGCAGGCAGATGTAGAGAGGTCAGCAGGGCTGTGTACAGGGGTAGCTGGCTTGTGTAGAGAACGGTCAGCAGGGTAGTGCAGTGTCGAGAGGTCAGCAGGGCAGCAGAGGCTTGTACAGGGGTCAGCAGGGCTCGGTGTAGAGAAACGGCAGCAGGGCAGTTGTAACAGAGGGTAAGCAGGGCAGAGTACAGGGGTCAGTGGGGCAGTGTACAGGGGATCAACAGGGCTCTGCAGAGTGGTCAGCAGGGCAGAGTGTACAGGGGTCAGCAGGGCAGTGTACAGGGCGTCAGTAGGGGTTCAGGTACAGGTATCAGGAGTCAGCAGGGCAGTGACAGAGGGTCAGTAGGCAGGGCAATGTAAGAGGGGTCAGCAGGGCAGCAATGGCTGTGTAGAGAGGTCAGCAGGGCAGTGTACATGGGTCAGCAGGGCAGCAGTACAGGGGTCAGTAGGGCAGTGTACAGGGGTCAGCCGGGCTCTGCAGCAGAGAGGTCAGCAGGGAAGTGTACAGGGGTCAGCAGGGCAGTGTACAGGGGTCAGTAGGGCAGTGTACAGGGGTCAGCAGGGCAGTGTAGAGAGGTCAGCAGGGCAGTGTACAGGTGTCAGCAGGGCTGTGTAGAGAGGTCAGCAGGGCAGCGTAGAGAGGTCAGTAGGGCAGTGTACAGGGGTCAGTAGAGCAGTATACAGGGGTCAGCAGGATACCTTTATAGAGAGGTCACGAGAGGGCAGTGTACAAGGGTCAGCAGGGGCAGTGTC